TCGGCATAAGCGGATTGTCGTTAAAAGCGGAGACGTACTAAGCGGAGGCTCTTTCATATGAGTCAAAAATATGAAAAAAACCTTCGGCATAAGCGGATTGTCGTTAAAAGCGGAGACGTACTAAGCGGAGGCTCTTTCATATAAGTTTGTATGGGGACCAACCAATACAACGAATTTCGGTTTGACGCTTTAAGCGGAGTCGTTACAACCGGATTCTACTGTATATATATATACACCCTTCATACATAGTCAGAATTTATTGTAGTTGTACATATGTGTATATACACTTTGTATTAATTTTCTGCATATGTAGCATACTTACTAACTGCTGACCATAATAGTTGGTTTTGCCATTAGCCGGTACGGAGCCGAGGAACTCGTTGAAGAGCATTTGCATTGCAGGTTGCTGTTGCTCGTCTATAGTCAGGCTTTGCTGTGCGTGTCCAGGCGACAAGTGCGATACAATTGACAGCAGAACAATGGCAATAGCCATCTGATGGGCGAAAGAGCAGCTGTACGTTGACATCACGTTATTGCTCGGGTTATTGTTGTTGCTCCAGACCCAACTAAAGTTGAGAGAAATCGAAAGAGAGAGGGCTTAGAAAGAGGAAAATATATGTACATAGGCAGGTGTACGAGTTTGTTTTCAACTAGCTGACAATTAAAAACAAGTCGAGTTCCTACCGCAACACCTACACGAGGCCAACCGTTTACGTAAAAGGTTTCATATTACAACTTCCACTGAAACAAACAAAGTTGCCAATGTTAAAATATGCATAATACTTTTTTATGTTCTTTTTTGTGCTTTTAAGAAAAATTTCTAGTAGCACGTTCTTCTTCGCATTTCACAGGTTTCATCTCAAGGTGTTGGGTATTTCAAACAGAACAAGTCACGTTGACAAACTTTCGCTACGTTTTGCGAATCGGCTAAAATATATAAAAAGTACTTTGAAGCCTAATCAAACCAGCATGACACCACCCACAGCCCCAAGAGCATATCACATGGCAAGCTCCGCAAAACCGTGACGCGGCCTGCGAATGCCCTAATTACTGTTGATGAAATGGTAATGGCTAATTATGCTCAACTGTGAATCTAAATGCGCATGAACAGGTTCAACTGGTCAAATGCCTAAAGAATTTATTATTTCTTTAAATTTTTAAAATTGGCGTCTAAATTAATTTGCTAAAGATAAACTAACATTTCTTTAAATTGTCAAAACTGACATCTAGATTAGTATCCTGAATGTAAACTGTGAAGAGTTACTCATAAGAACTATAAGCTTATATCAATTAAAGCTTTCTCAAAAGCACAAAATCATTTTCTGTTTTTATGAATATCTATATATTTATCTATATATTTATAAT